GGAGGAAGATGCCATTCTCAGGTAGCATACCTTTTGTGAGCCACGCGAGGGTCAAATTTAGAAGAAGACGCCATTCCAAGGTAGCATAGCGTTTGTGAACCACGGGGGGGGTTCAAGATTGAGGAAGAAGATGCCGAAAAGAACACAGCGAATCTTCTAAATTTTACCTTCCCATGGCTCACACAAGGTATGCTTTGGAATGGCACCTTCCTCCTCTCAATTTAACTCTCGCGTGGCTCACAAAAGGTATGCTACTTTGGAATGGCACCTTCCACTCTAAATCTTACCCCCGCGTGGCTCACAAAAGGTATGCTATCTTGGAATGGCATCCTCCTCTAAATTTAACCCTCAGCGTGGCACACAAAAGGTATGCTACCTTGGAATGACACCTTCCTCCTCTAATTGTTCTCTCGTGTATCACAAAAGGTATGCAACATAGACAAAGAAAAGATACAGCAAAACAAACAAAATGCATAACAAACATCAACGCCCAGGGAAGAAACAAACACCAAGAAAAAGCAACAAAGGAAAACAAAACAGTCAGTTCATAGAACAGCAAAGGAATAGAAACCGACTAAACCAAAAACCGAGCTAGTACCAAAAAACACAAAATTAGCACAACCAGAACAACACAAGGCAGCAAACAAAAACCAGCAGATTTAAAACAAAAAAAAACAGCATAAATAAAAAAACAGCACAACAAGGATAAAAACAAGGTAGAATTAAAAAAAAACATTAAAAGACAGATGAGAAAAAACAGGGCGAATAAAAACAAACAAACAAACAAACAAACAGCACCACAAGAAAAAACAAGACATGAAAGAAACCGGCCGAAAGAAAAGCCGACGCAAACAAAACAAAACAGCACAAGAAAAAACATGCATTAAAAAACAGCGACATAAACAAAAACCAGAACTTAAAAAACGGCGCAAACTACAAAAAAACACAACAAGGAAAAAACAGGCAGAAAAATGACAGCAGAGAAAAAAGGCTGCAAGAATAGAAAACAAAAAACGCCGATCTAAAAAATAAAAGACAGCGCAAAAAACAGCGCGAATAAAAAAACAAAAAAAACAGCACCACAAGCAAAACACAACGCAGAAACAAAAACACACCCAAAAGAAAAGAGCCTGAAATTAGAAAAACAGCAGCACCCGAAGAAAATAACACGGAAAAAACAACAGCACAACCTGAAATGAAAACGACCCAGAAATCCCAGCTACAAACGCCGTTGAAAAGAGACCAATCTCCCGCGTTCGCCGGCCGTTCCAGCTGAGTCGGAGTCGGTGGAGTCTCCGAAACGTCGACATGGCAGGGACATGGACCCGAACTCGGACCAGCGAGTTCGCCTCTTCTCTAACTCGGTGCTTCGCGAGTTTTCCTTTGGATGATCTCTTCTATCGTGGAATTTGGAGATCGTACCTGGGCGGCTGGCTTCGGAAAAGACACCTGGCTACCCTTAGTCGCTCTTCGGCCCCGTGTCATTCACTCGAAGGACATGGTGCAGAAAAGACGGAGGTCCTGCGAGGTGAAACACCGGAGGTCTCGTGCGCCGGGCGCTGCTCGCCGATCCGCGGCGCGGATCGATGGCGGAGAGGGCGTGACGGCGAACCAAGGACTCGGCATTTCTGTCGGTGACCGAGAGTTGGACGACACGACCAGGGGGGAAGCTATCATACTCGACACGATCTACTCATGTCGACGGCTGCTACTGACGGTGGAGGCTTGTGTAGATGTTCCATGATGTTCCCATTTCCCGATCACTACTAGGCATGTCAGGATGCGCTCCCCAAGTCGACTTCTGAGCTGCCAAAACTCTTTTTCTATCTTGTCTCTGCAACTTGTTTCATGACATCCTACCCTGGTCAGGAAGACCCTCGAGTTCGTGCTTTCTGCGTACAATTTCTATAAAAAAGAGCTCAAGCCCCTCATGCATATGCCCAGTCTTTAGGGTACAAAGGGAACTTCCTTGGCCTCACTGGAGCAAAATAGAGTCCATCGACTTCATCTGTGGTGGAGGTCACTCTCGGAATCTCTCCCAGCTGGCAGCAGAAGCGGTCCATCTGGCTGCGTCTTCGCAGGGGTGAACCGACCTTTCAAGACTCTTGGTCTATGGTGCCCCACTCGAGTTCCTCGCCACCACGCCCTCTCCGCGAGTCGCCGCCGCGAGTCGCCGCGCCCACCGCTCTCAACTCGGCGGCGCCGTCATGCGCGGCATCTCCGCCGGCCGCTCCGTGCCCGGCTCCGGCTCCTGGAAAAAGGCAGGGACCGGTCCGAGGCAGTGTGATAAGGCGGTGCGAGCGGTATGGATGGATGCGAGATGGTGTGAACGGAGTTGGATGGGATGCGGTATGGAGTTGGATGCTTTAGAACATCGCATCGCATCCAAAGCACGCAACACAGGTCGGAATCGGCTTTCGCCCCGCGGGGGGGGCCGACCCCGGGGCGGTCGTTCAATCCAGTGCCTTCATCCAGCTACCAGGACCATCCTGTGGTGTCCGGTCTGGTGGAAGCCCACAAGAAAGGGCTGGGCAGTGGGCCTGGGTCTCCCCCAACAGGATGGTCCTGGTACATTAGGGATCTAAGTCTCTTCTCAGAAGGTACGACTGGACCCTCCAAACCTACATGATTAACTTGACAAAGTACTTTGGATCCCTGGGATTCATCTCGGTTGATGGATGGCGGTCATGTCATCGTCTCGTCTCGTCCCGTTCCACGAGGGTTCGTCTCACACGTTTGCCCGTCGTGCCAAATGGCTGGGGGGTTTGGGTCCGGGCTCCGCTGTTCGAACGAGGGCGACAGGCGACAGGCGACAGACACAGAGACGAAAGGCTTTGGTTCGTCAGGACGTGGTGTCGGCATCTGGATGCAACAAATCTAGACAAATGTTTATCATTGTTTGCCCTAGAGGGGCGGTAAGAAATCCAATTGGAACGATGGCTCTCCGCACCTTTACCCCCCCCTGGTCGCTCCCAAATCAATTCAAAAAACATATACCGACACCTTGGCCTCGCGCTCGCGCCCCCGCGCCCGCCGCGCGAGCAACGCCTGCACTGCGGTGCTGGCCAAGCGCCGGCAGGTGGGCGCCATGGCCACCATCCGGGCCACCTCGGCGTCCAGGAACTCGATTTGCGGCTTGTAGCCTCGGAGCCGCGAGTCGCGTGCGAGAGCACAAGCAGGGCACGAGCGGAACGGGCTCCTGGCATTACGAACGGAGCAAGAAGCTACGAACGTAACAAGGACGCTATGCTCGGTGGAGGCCATCGCAAGTAGGTTGGAGGCCAGCGCTACTAGTAACAAGAAGCTACTAGGGCGGAGGCCATCGCCTCCACCGGGTGATGACCGGCGGACTGACGAGACCGGTGGCGATGGAAGGGGCGGCCTGGAGGGGCGCCTGGAGGGGGTGTCCAGAACGTGAGATCTGCACACCCCTCGCCCCTCCGAAGTCCTTCACGGTCTCAAGAGTGACGCAAAGTGATGCAAGGGGGGGGAGGCTGTGTGGCCCCCTTGTGGTCCAACCATCTGGGGCCTCTACCCGTTCGCCTTCCGTTCAAGCATTTAATCCAAGTTGACCTGGCTTTCTAGTGTAGAACTCCTTAGCAAAACAAATGAAAACAATATGGTTGTTGTGTTCAAATTAGTGGAAGGCCGGGAATCCCAGGGTGGTCCATGGTTGCTCCACCTGTCCCAGGACTTCAGGAAATCGCTGGGACCCAGCAGACAGAGTGGATCGTAGTCAGCCACTATAGTCCACTAATCTAGAATCGACACGAAATTAACACCCCCCCATTTGGATGCACGGACTTGCGGACACGCTCCCACATCTCCCCTTACTCACAGGTGGAGTGGGTGAAGGTGGTGATGTGAAACAGGGGGATGACCTATCTGCACTACAACCATATGTACACTACGACGAAAAGTGTTGCTTGCATGAAAAGGAATGAAGAACGAGGTCATAAGAGACAGGTGTGCGACAGTGTGAGTACCCGGCTGGGCACATGCGGAATGAATTTAGGCGTGCACATAATTGAAGAGGTCTGAACTTATCTAATTCACATCAGGGTGAGCAAAAGAATCTAAGTTTTTGTGTGTCCGTAGAGCATTACGCATACGAATCTGGAATTTCTGCTGCTTATCGGGGTCTGCCTCACGCCATTCTGGCCATTTTTTAGACTGCGTATACGGTTGAAGAGGAAGGAGTGGGACATTTGTATGAAAGGGCGGATTGCCTGGCATTGTTGTATGTAAGCTCCCCATTAGGTAACTCGGGTCTGCAAGCTATACCGCCTTCATGGTCTGTGGAAAAACCCAGGACCACGAGGCTTCGTGATCCTTGTTTCTTATAGGCAGGAAGAAATTTTGATTTGGAAAATGTCTGAGTGTGCTTGACCACCCATCTGAATGTTTCTGCAATGTTCCTCAATGAGCGTTGGGCAGGGGGGCTGCATCTGTACTTTTGGATCATCA